AGCACACACTTTTCCGAGGGACGAGGCAACAGGAGACGAGTTGTTGATTGCTTCAACCATGGCCGTGCCTTGGCTTCGACCGTGTTGAACCCCCCCAGAGTGCACTTCCGGATGTTTGGGAACTTGCCCCTCAGTGCTACGGATATGCCACTGAAGGGAACGCGTAGACCCACATCCTTCCGTGCAGAACGGGTCACACTAGAAGCCTCGGCGCGTCCGAGGGATGCCAACAGCTACCCATCTCGGCACTGCGAGGCCAGGCCGGCACCTCAACAGAGCACACTTTTCCGAGGGACAAGGCGACAGGAGAGACGTTGTTGGTTGCGTCAAACACGGCCGCACCTTGGCATCAACCATGATGAACCGCCCATGGTGCACTTCCGGATGATTGGGAACTTGCCCCTTCGTGCTAAGGATATGCCCGTGGAGGCTTCACCTAGCGCCACAACCTTCCGTGCGGAACGGGTCACACTGGATGCCTCGGCACGTCCGAGGGATGGCCGCAACTACCCACTGTGATGCCAGACCGGCACCTCGACCAAAGGGACGAAGGCATCAAGATTTTTGACTTGGACCTTGAGGAACAAGCAAAGAACTTGCTGCACGCCAAATGTGTCATGGTGCCGGATAAGCTCACTACGAGATGCCCACATTTTTCCGTTGGACCAGCCAGAACCGGGACACGTACGACCTGGATTCGGCATGGACTATTTTTGACTCGGTCGAATTTCCCACATCGCCATGGAAAAACGCACCAGCATGCTTGGGAAAGCTTGCTGGGGCGCTGGGAGGGAGCCCCATGGCACGCCATCCTGACCCACCAAGGTGCGTGGGCAGGCAGGCAGCTCCCCCCTATAGTAGGCTAATATGCAAAAACCCGCTCTCCAGCACCGGACATCCTTTTTTCTGGGGAGACATACTCGGTTTTTTTGAGGCTACGGGTCGAAGTTTTACATCATTTTTAGCACAAGTGCTTATAAAAAGTGGGAGCAAGTGGTCCACAAAGTTTCACGATTTTTCTCCGAGCCGATACTTTTTCATGATTTTCCTAGCCGACGAGCTTTATGTCATTCCCGAAAATTAGAAAATGGGTGTGGACCATGTTTCTTGAGCTGTTCTATTGCAGGAGTTCCAGGAATATTATTCATAAACATTTCCCAGAGTTACGTCCATGTAAGGTCGAGGCATTTACCTCAAATGATTTTCAACCGACGTGCGGCACAATCCATGATGCCCTGACGGACACACGTGCCATGGCTTGGGTGAGTGTGCCATAGGCTAGGCCACGCACCACATGAATAAGGGACTATGTGTGTATCGTGGACTTTGCACCAATTCGACTAATCGCACACACAAGTTGCGGATCCACAACCCTCGAAGAGCAAAGTGGAAAACCAAAAATTCAAGATATCAATCTTGATTTGGCAAGTGATTCCAGATGCAACACATGAATAAGGGACTGCGTGAATTCCCAAACTCTGAAGGGTGAGCTAGATCAGCCCCCCCAACAAACTTCTAAGAGTCACAAGCCAACAAGCAACACAGTGTCACATGCCCTTATCTTTAACCAAACCTGCACTGAGAGGCCACAATCAAGACTCTCGCTTCCGCCATGGGAACCACCCACAACACACTACCAGATTATGGGACTTACGCCCCTTCGTGATCTGCATATATGCCCATGAAGGGTTCACTGAGCACCACAACCTTCCGTGCAGAACGTGCCACAGTAGAAGGCACGACAATTCCGAGGGATCCCCGCAACAAACCAACTCTGCACTGTGAGGCCAGGCCGGCACCTCAACAGAACACTTTCCCGAGGGACAAGGCGACAGGAGAAACATTGCTGATTGATTCGACCACGACCGCCCCATGGCTCCAACCGTGTTGAACCGCCCAGGTTGCACTTCCGGATGCTTGGGAACTTGACCCATGCATGGTGCTGCGGATACGCCCAAGAAGGGTTCACCGAGCACCACAACCTTCCGTGAACAACGGGACTCAGTAGAAGCAACGACAATTCCGAGGGATCCCCGCAACAAACCAACTCTGCACTGTGAGGCCAGGCCAGCACCTCAACAGAACACTTTTCTGAGGGACAAGGCGACAGGAGAAACATTGTTGATTGATTCGACCACGTCCGCCCCATGGCTCCAACCGTGTTGAACAGCCCAGGTGCACTTCCGGATGATTGGGAACTTGACCCATGGTGCTGCAACTACGCCCATGAAGGGTTCACTGAGCACCACAACCTTCCGTGCAGAACGGGCCACAGTAGAAGCCACGACAATTCCGAGGGACCCCCGCAACATACCAACTCTGCACTGTGAGGCCATGCCGGCACCTCAACAGAACACTTTCCCGAGGGACAAGGCGACAGGAGAAACATTGTTGATTGATTCGACCACGACTGCCCCATGGCTCCAACCGTGTTGAACCGCCCAGGGTGCACTTCCGGATGCTTTGGAACTTGACCCTTCGTGCCTGCAGATATTACCATGAAGGGTCACCGAGCACCAAAACCATCCGTGCAGATCAGGCCACACATGAACACACGACAATTCCGAGGGATTCCCGCAACAACCCATCTCGGCACTGTGAGGCCAGGCAGGCACCTCAACAGCGCACACTTTTCCGAGGGACAGGCAACAGGGGACACGTTGCTGATGGCCTCAACCACTACCGCGCCATGGCCTCAACCATGTTCAACCGCCAAAAGTGCACTTCCGGATGCTTGGAAACTTGCCCCTTCGTGCTACGGCCATGCCCATTAGAGCAACACCTAGCGCCACATCCTTCCGTGCAGAACGGGTCACACGAGAAGCCTCGGCACGTCCGAGGGATGCCCACAACTACCCATCTCGGCACTGTGAGGCCAGGCCGGCACCTCAACAGAGCACACATTTCCGAGGGACGAGGCGACTGCAGAGACGATGCTGATGGCCTCAACCACTACCGCGCCATGGCCTCAACCATGTTCAACCGCCAAAAGTGCACTTCCGGATGCTTGGACACTTGCCCCTTCGTGCTACGGCTATGCCCATTAAGGCAACACCTAGCGCCACATCCTTCCGTGCAGAACGGTTCACACGAGAAGCCTCGGCACGTCCGAGGGATGCCCACAACTACCCATCTCGACACTGTGAGGCCGGGCCGGCACCTCAACAGAGCACACATTTCCGAGGGACGAGGCGACTGGAGAGACGTTGCTGATTGCTTCAACCTTGGCCTTGCCTCGGCTTCAACCGTGTTGAACCGCCCAGAGTGCACTTCCAGATGTTTGGGAACTTGCCCCTCAGTGCTACGGATATGCCACTGAAGGGAACGCGAAGACCCACATCCTTCCGTGCCGAACGGGTCACACTAGAAGCATCGGCGCGTCCAAGGGATGCGCACAACCACCCATCTCCGCACTGTGAGGCCAGGCCGGCACCTCAACAGAGAACACTTTTCCGAGGGACGAGGCGACTGTAGAGACGTTGCTGATTGCTTCAACCATGGCCTTGCCTTGGCTTCCACCGCGTTGAACCGCCCAGAGTGCACTTCCGGATGTTTGGGAACTTGCCCCTCAGTGCTACGGATATGCCACTGAAGGGAACGCGTAGACCCACATCCTTCCGTGCCGAACGGGTCACACTAGAAGCCTCGGCGCGTCCGAGGGATGCGCACAACTACCCATCTCGGCACTGTGAGGCCAGGCCGGCACCTCAACAGAGCACACTTTTCCGAGGGACGAGGCGACTGGAGAGACGTTGCTGACTGCGTCAAACACGGCCGCGCCTTGGCTTCGACCATGATGAACCGCCCATAGTGCACTTCCGGATGATTGGGAACTTGCCTCTTCGTGCTACGGATATGCCCGTGAAGGCATCACCTAGCCCCACAACCTTCCGTGCGGAACGGGTCACACTGGAAGCCTCGGCACGTCCGAGGGATGACCGCAACTACCCACTGTGATGCCAGACCGGCACCTCGACCAAAGGGACGAAGGCATCAAGATTTTTGACTTGGACCTTGAGGAACAAGCAAAGAACTTGCTGCACGCCAAATGTGTCATGGTGCCGGATAAGCTCACTACGAGATGCCCACATTTTTCCGTTGGACCAGCCAGAACCGGGACACGTACGACCTGGATTCGGCATGGACTATTTTTGACTCGGTCGAATTTCCCACATCGCCATGGAAAAACGCACCAGCATGCTTGGGAAAGCTTTCTGGGGCGCTGGAAGGGAGCCCCATGGTACGCCATCCTGACCCACCAAGGTGCGTGGGCAGGCAGGCAGCTCCCCCCTATAGTAGGCTAATATGCAAAAACCCGCTCTCCAGCACCGGACATCCTTTTTTATGGGGAAACATACTCGGTTTTTTTGAGGCTACGGGTCGAAGTTTGACCTGATTTTTAGCACAAGTGCTTATAAAAAGTGGGAGCAAGTGGTCCACAAAGTTTCACGATTTTTCTCCGAGCCGATACTTTTTCATGATTTTCCTAGCCGACAAGCTTTATGTCATTCCCGAAAATTAGAAAATGGGTGTGGACCATGTTTCCTGAGCTGTTCTATTGCAGGAGTTCCAGGAATATTATTCATAAACATTTCCCAGAGTTACGTCCATGTAAGGTCGAGGCATTTACCTCAAATGATTTTCAACCGACGTGCGGCACAATCCATGATGCCCTGACGGACACACGTGCCATAGCTTGGGTGAGTGTGCCATAGGCTAGGCCACGCACCACATGAATAAGGGACTATGTGTGTATCGTGGACTTTGCACCAATTCGACTAATCGCACACACAAGTTGCGGATCCACAACCCTCAAAGAGCAAAGTGGAAAACCAAAAATTCAAGATATCAATCTTGATTTGGCAAGTGATTCTAGATGCAACACATGAATAAGGGACTGCGTGAATTCCCAAACTCTGAAGGGTGAGCTAGATCAGCCCCCCCCCCCCAACACACTTCTAAGAGTCACAAGCCAACAAGAAACACAGTGTCACATGCCCTTATCTTTAACCAAACCTGCACTGAGAGGCCACAATCAAGACCCTCGCTTTCGCCATG